CCCCTGTCCTGTCCTCCCCCTCCTCTGGAGCTCCTGACGCCACAGCTCTCAGGGGCTTAGGTGACATCTGGCCCCTGGGGGAGGGGTGGGATGCTGGGTGAACCAGCGAGGCAGCCGGTGGTGCAGGGAGGGGGCTGGACATGGAGCAGGGGCCATATTCTCATCCAAACTGCCCTCTTCTCTTCCTTTTGTGGGAAACTCATCCTTCTGAGACCTCAGACAGTGTGCCTGCCTGTGGGGATGGCGCAGTATATGAAATTCCATTTGGGAGAAGAATTTTGGTTTTTTTGTGCCGAGAAGGAAATAGTCTGGGCACCACCTGCTGCGTTTCCCCTGATGTCTCGTCCCGACAGGATGAGCTATGGCCCTGCCCAGGGCCAGGATGCCCCGGGTAGCACGTGTCGGCTGTGAGGGCGGCTGGGTCCTACTTCCCACTCTGCACCTGGGATCCCGAGGTCACTCAGAGGGAGGAGGAAGGGCATTGAGGAGGGAGGACCCCCAACATGCCACGTAAAGACCCACATTACTCGTCAGGTGGCCCAGCTGGACCATGAGGAGGCTCACACGTGTCCACGTGGACCCACAGCAAAGGGCTCTGACCGCAACCGGTCACAGGGGACTCGCTGCGTGTGTTCAGGTGTTACCAGGTGCTGTGTCTGCTGAGGTAGGCAGTTAGCCCTCCCAGCCTTTTACTGACCCTTCATTTCCCTACGAGAGTAACGAGGTCCCTCGTGTCATAACTGCCTGTGACCAGACTAAACACTCTTGTCCTGACGGCATCTGACGGCTGGCCAGGAAGGAGGTGAGGGCACCAGGTGACTCCCCTCACAGCCCAACCCCACGCTCAGCACCTCCGCCAGCTTTCACAGTGTACCTGCCGTGAACTGTGTCCCCCAGAGTCATATGTTGAAATCCTAACCCCCCCACCGCAGTGGCATTAGGAGGTGGCACTTTGGAGGTGATGAGGTCGCGAGGGTGGAGCCCTCAGGGTGGGATCAGTGCCCTTATAAGAGAGAGCCCTGGGGAGCTCCCTCACCCTCCAACCACGTGAGGACACCGTGAGAAGACCCGTCTGTGAACCAGGCAGGGCCTCGCTGGACAGTGAAACAGCCAGCACCTCGACCCTGGACCTCAGCCTCCAGCCATGAGAGGTGAACGTCTGCGGTTTGTAAGCTGCCGGTCTCGGTGTGTTTGTCAAAGCCTCCCAGAAGGGTTGAAACTGTTACTTCTTCGGCGATTGAGCAGCTCTTTGCAAAACCCCCTCCTTGGTTTCAGCAGGTGTGTGTGTCCCCCCTTACGCCTGCACTACCTCGAGACAAAGCGTCAATGTGTGTAACTGGTTTACCTTATTAGCAACTGTTTTCTTTTACAAAGAAATTATTATTATATTACCACTGTTAATTACATCATTTATACAGTAGATTGAGCTTCTTAAAAGTAACTACTAACAAACGCAGAAGCATAGCTACGTAGTATTTTATTATTCAAACGACACTTAAAATAATCAGGCAGATTACCTGAAGTCACAGAGCCTCACCTGATTCTTCAGCTTTTGTTTGAGCTTCATAAAGAATGTTACTGGCAATATTTTAACATTTACAAACTGTCACCATTTTCTGTGGGCTTTATTTCCTGATGTGATTTTAAAATAGGAACTATTTCCTTGTGATGATGTAGGTTTATACAGAACATGTCTGTATTTTTTTCTATTACTCTGCATGCATCCAGTTAAATCAGGGTTATATTAAGCCTTATAAAGATACGCTGGGGTCCCGGAGGCTGAGCCCCCCGCCCACATGTGTGGGGCTCGCCTGCAGGGAGAAGGGGGGCCTCTGAGCTGCAGGAGGAAAGTGCTTGGCGGAAACCAGAGGAGGTTTTCGAGCACAAACAATCCCTCCCTGCGCTATAATTTCCTCTTTTCTGTTTAAAATACAGTAAACAAAAGATAAAAATATCACTGTGACAAAAAGACAAAGAATGGTAAGATAAAACACAACAAAGGCCAAGTAGATGAGCAGAATCTATTTTGTTTGTTAAAAACAAAACAAAACAAAGACTCAAGGAGCAGCCTTTGTCTAAACCTCATAGCTTAAAGCAGCTTGTAAATATTCTAAGGCCGCCACGCCCAGCGTGGGAACACGGTGGCCAGTGTAATTTCCGGTAGAAGTTTAATGCAAGCCACATACAGAATTGTACACATTCTAGAAATCACATTAAGAAGAGTCAAAAGAAACAGCAGACACCAAGTTTAATTCGCGTTTCTGTAGCGCGATGTGTCTGAAGGCCGTTACTTCCACGTGTGGCCGCGCGAAGCCGTATGACGAGGTGTTTCCCTTCTTTGTTACGTCCTCCCAACCCAGTTTGTATTTCACTCTTACACTTTGCCTCCGTTTGGGTGAGTCACTTTCAAGGGCCTGGGGGCCCCGGGTGGCTTCGAGAGGTCACCCGCGTGGACAGCTCAGTCTCAGCATAAAAGGCGGGGCCGGTCCCCGCGGTGGAGAGCTCCCCAGGCCGACCAGACGCGACTGGCCGCGTGGATGGCAGGCAGACCCAGCGGCGGGAGCGGCGGGGGCCGTCGGGGAAGGCGGGGCTGTGCCTCTGCGGAAGATCGTCCTTCCAAACTCAGCCACAGCCTGCGGGGGAGACGGAGCCCCCCAGACTCTGGATCCAGTTGATGATCTGACTTTGCTGGTTGTCATTTGCATTTCTGTGATTATCAGGGAAGCTAGATGATTCTCCCTCGATTATAGGTCATTTTCATTCCTAATTTTATGCTTGAAACCAAATTATTGGCTTAGAAGACTATCGTGTACAATTCACTTACTGTTAAGATGAGGGAGGAGAGAGGAGATTGGGAGGGAGAGAGGAACTGTACCAAGTCCCGTGTGGGAGACACCGGTGACACCAAGTGGCAGCCATGTTCCATTAGTGGTCACGTTCCTGCTCCAGAACCGCCCCTCCCTGCACCACACCCTTAGCCCGGTGACCTTGGACGGTATCCCAGCAGAGGCAGGGCCCGTTTCTCCGTCCTGTTGGCATCGACTGTGCCCATGAGACTTGCTTTGTTCTGAACAACTTTCATCACCCTGAGGAGGACATGGCCCCAGCAGCAGACGGAGAGGCATATGGAACAGAGTCTCCCTCTGGTCACAGCCCTGCAGCTGGAGGCCACGCTGACCCAAGAGCCAGCTAGCACACACTCATGGCTGTAGATGTGGAGTTTGGGGTTGCTTGTTACAAAGCATTAGCATGTCAATAATTGACTAACACAACATGTGCCCGGACTGGGGAGGCGGTGACCAAATGCATTACACAGGAAAATTCCCTAACCACGTCGGAGGGGCAGGCAGAACACAGGGCAGAGAGGCACGCGGAAGTGCAAACAGGTCAGCTCTCTCAGTGCCGCGTGGAAGGAAATTCCGCAGTCCCCGTGTGCGCAGGGTGACTGACAGAGGGGAGAGGATCCGACGGGCACCGCGGCCCTGTTGCGACACTAAATTTAAAAAACAGTGAGTATAGAGATTTTGAGAGAAAAACTATTAGAAATTTACACTCAGCCAAACTATTGCATAACTTTGAGAGCCAAAGAAAGCTGTTTCACCACCCACGCTCTTTCCGAAAACAAAAAAATTACTCAATGAAATGCACCACCCACACCAAAAATGAAAGAAAACGCCCCAAAGTTCTAGAGTCCAACTCCCAAATTCGTTATTTTTCCTCTGCCCAGATTTTTCAAAAATACGTTCCAAGAAGCATTAGTTTCACAAGATGTTCCTAAAAATAGGATTTACTGGTCTAATAAGTTTGGGGAACTGCAGGCTTTCATGGCAGTACCAGCTAACCTGGTGCACAGTTCGAGCTGTGTCCCCTGTGTCAAGTCACTTGGTCCTCACGCAGCTCTGTGGTGCGGGTACCACTATTCCTGCCGGGCTGCCGGTGAGGAAGGGGCTCATGAAGATGCTGAGTGAGTCGGCCCAGTTATCTGCTGGTGAGGAGCCCTGCAGCTCCAGCGCATCCTGCACTGACTTCCGACGGAGAACCACACCCCACAGGCATGTGCTCAGCCCCGACTCTCACCTGCCTGTGGTTCTGCCTGCGAAAGGGAAGCTCAGGTGGCCACAAACCAAGACAAGACGTCCACCTGTTGTCTGCATCTGTCCAGCACCCACCTGTGTTGGGAGGTGTCCTGCCCAGCTGTGTGTATGATGTCTGCCAGGTGCCAGTCCAGGTCTCCATTTACAGGCCCTGGGATGAGGATGGGAGGGACCCTCAGCTATGGCGCTGGGCCTGGAGGAGCCAGTGACACAGCTGGGATAAAGAGTGACCTTTCCCCAGTGTCATTTTCAAGAAAGGGGAGGAAGGGTTGCAGGAGGGACAACTGTGGCTCGGGACTACCAGAGGCCTCGGGTCACCCCCACCCCCGGCAGGTGGAGAACCCCGTCTTCGGCTGTAGACACGCCTGCTGTCATTCCAAGTCCTCAAAGCCATCATTTGCTTTTAAGAGACAAGCACGTTCAGCCTGTTAGGTGGCACTTTGGGATCGCTCCTCTTTGTGGAAAGAAGCGTTTTTGTGGTGTGGGATGAAGTGGTAGCAGTGAGACTGGGGGCATTAACCAGGGGTGGGGGCCATAAGAGTACAAAACATTGTATTTTTGTGGGGTTTATCCCAGGATGGCACATATGGTCTAATACATGAAAAGTAATGCGATTCACCAGATTAACAGAATAAAGGAAAAAGCACAGTCATCTCAGTTCATCTCCAAAAGCACATTTAGCATCTGTGATTAAACAAGTGAATGAGTGACCTCAGCAAAGAAGAGCTGTAGTCTGAGGAAAGGCATCTACAGAGCGCCAACCTCTGGGCGCACACGCTGACTGAAAGCCCCACACGTCCTCTTCTCCCTGAGGCTGTGAACAAGGCGAGGATGTGTGTTCCCACCTCTTCTGTTCCGCGCGGTACAGGCCCATGGAATAAGCCAAGAGAAGAAATAAGGCACATGTTTTGGCATAAAATCTGCCTTTATTTGCAAATGGCATGACTAAGTATGTAGGAAATTCTAGGGAACCAGCAAAGACGCTTCCAGGGCCATCGAGCAGGTGAGCAGGATTGTAGGAGACAAGGTGATGTGCAAAGTCCATTACATCTCCACGTGCCAGCAGTGCAAACACTGGGAAGTGAAATTAAAAAAAAACTGTATAAAAGGGTAAAAAACATGCTCAAGGAGAAATGTAACAAAATAATGCAAGACCTAAAAAAAAGACACTGAAAATACAATACACAGCTGTGAGAAATTATTGATGACCTAAGTAAATAAAGAAAAAGACCATGCTCACGGACTGGAGGAGCTGCTCTTGTTAAAATGTTAATTCTTCCAAACTGATCTGTCGATCCGGTGCCGTCCCCACTGCGCACACCGCAGAAACAAATTTGTGTCACGTGCGTGTGAGTGCCAGTGAGCCCCTTGCGGCACCCACCTGGGGATGTGAATCCACCAGGCAAGGGGACAACAGATGGCGCTGAGGGACATCGAGGGATTTAAGTAGGACTGAACCGACCAGAAGGTAGGGATGTCCTGTTTCAAGGTCAAGGTTGTCTCCTACTGAATTCTTGAAATTGAAAACATGAACAGCCTTGCCTTCACGTGACATCATTACACCAGAATTGCAGAGCAGGGGCGTTTTCGTCTCCTTTCTCCTGCTGCCCTTCACACGACCACGCCTGGTTCTTCGAACGGCAGAGGTTGGAGATGATCAACAGAAAACCAGCCATAAACCAACCAGAGCTCTGCCTTCCTGCAGTCGGTGACGCGGGGCGAGCTGACGGGGAAACTGACTGAGGAAGAACCGAAAAAAACAAGCCCCACTGAGCCCCTGAGCCAGGTCTGCGGGACCCGAAGCCGCGGCTCCGCTGGCACGTTCTACTCACAAGGAAACAGGGACAAGGCGGCCCTGCGCATCCCACGGGGTGACGTGACCTGGCACCACCCGGGAAGAAGTGCTGATGGCAAGGAAGGCAGCCTCATCCCCCGCGGGCGTCAGGCCCCGGGGAACTGCGGTCTGACTCACACGCACCGAGGACCGTTTCAAGAGGGGAAGAGCCATGAACTAAAAACATTCCACTTCCATTTCCATTGCTGCTCTGGGAGGTTAAGTTCTTACTTTCTCCCTCTCTCCACAGCCTGAGAAGATTTTAGCTCTGCATCGTGCAAGTATTGAAAGCAACTGGGTGTTCCTAATGAGACTAGCCTCTGCCTCCCTCCACCCCTCCTACCAGGACCACCCTTTCTCTGAAGGAGGCACAATGCACTTGATCAGCTGCTCCGAATTACGCATGCGTCCGCCTGAGGTTCAGCCAGGCCGCTCCCCAACAAAGGGGTACAGCCCGGCTAGCATCTCACTTTTGTTCTCGCCAGCCGTCTTTTGTGATGCAGCCTGGGAAAAAATCTGAACGAGGCTGCCCGGCTGCAGCAGGAATTCTTGTCAGATAAAGAGGCAGCCCCCCTCCCGCCACCTGGGAGCTCGCAGAGGACACGCAGCCCCCAGCCCTCACGCAGCCTGGGAACGGCCCTGTTTGATTTCCTAGGCAACCGAGAAAGCCGGATAAAAGCAAGAAACACGGGAGGCGAATCTGATGTGGGAAAAGCCAGACGAGAGGAGCTAAGTGGGGGGGCTCTTGGGCAGCACGTCCCGGCCGACAGCTGTGTGGGAGAAGATGGAGGGGACGGCCCCTCCTGCCACGTCCAGGGGGCGGGTCCCGCAGCTGACGGGCGTCAAGGTCGCGGATGCTGCGCTCCCTCCCTGATTTCAACCCCGAGTCATTGTGGTTTCCCCAGCTCTGCCTGATTAAAGCAACACAGTCGTGAAAACAGCATCCTTCAGAATCGTGAAATCTGTGAGATAAACACAGAAAGATGGAACCAGCAGTGTGTGTAACAACCATGCCGAGCAAACACACACGGGAGATAAATTCTGAGCGAGGTGAAGAGCTTAGTGTTGGCCAGGTGCCTCGTGGAGGCTGCTAAGTGCTGAAATTCAGGTAACGATCACTGCGCCCTTGTGTCCGTCAGCCCTGCCCTGCCTCCTGCGTGGGTCGAAAGTCCCCTGGCCTGTGTCCTGACCCAGTTTTCTGCCCTGGTTGTCCCCGTCCCCTCCCAGGACAGTCTCTGCTTCCATGGGCACAGCTACCCCTGACAGACAAGACGTAGTGCCATGCTTGTGATTAGGTGGCTCTGAGGTACGAGATGAATGAACGACTCCTGCCCGGCCTGGCATCCTCGGCAGCTGGGGTGGGAGGGATTAGGGGCAGAAGGACACTAGCAGACAAAGACCGCACACTGTTTGCTCCACTAACTGGGTCAGAAAGTGAGGCTCAGTGAACCGTCCTGCATGTGTGGAATTTAGGAAATAAAGACATATTATGTTTTCAGGCAGGTGGATGTTTTATTTCACAGGCAGGTAATTGTTATCGTCTAGAAGATAGCTTTCCACCTGGGGACAAAGCGGCTGAGGCCCTGGACCTCAGATCAATGGAAGGAACAAAGACACCATGTCCCACGCGCCCGCAGCTCGAGCTGCTGGAAGGCTTTCCCACTCTCTTTCCAGATGTCTTCCTCCCTGCGAGCCCCTGAGGACAAAGGCCGTGTCTGTGTGTTGTCACACAGCCGGCTTAGCGTGGAGAGACCTCAGTATCTGTTGTACAAACAGCGATGGTCTCTTGTGCCAAAAGCTTCTAGACTTGGCTCTTTCCAGAAACTCTCTCACCTCCAGCCATTCAGAAAAAACTGGAAGAAAAATACCATACGATATCACTTATATGTGGAATCTTAAAAAAAAACCCACAAATGAACTTATTCACAAAACAGACACAGACTCACAGACGTAGAAAACAAACTGATGGTTACAGGGGGAGGGGGTGGGAAGGGGCAGACTGGGAGTTTGGGATTTGCAGATACTGACTACTGCACATAAATAGATAAACAACAGGGGCCCACTGTACAGCGCAGGGAGCTCTGCTCATGTCTTGTAATGGCCTGACGAAAACGAATGTGAAAAGGAATATATGTATATGAGTGAATCATTATGCTGTACACCAGAAATGAATGCATTGTATATCAGTTATACTTCAACTAAAAAAATGAAGAAAAGAAGAAACTGGATTCTGAAATGTACCGCATATCCCCGCTCGCAGCAGCAGATGCTCACGTGAGTGGACGTCCTAGTGCAGGCGGCTGAGCAGAGGGAGGGGGCGAGTCTCACCCGTGAGGGAGGAGAAGCGAGGTCTGGTCAGACGGGGCTGCGGACAGATCCAGCCCCGCAGAGAATCATGTCGTCCTCTTGGGCCGAGCATTCTGCTCTCAAAGGCCCCACGAGAGACGACAAGCTGGGGTCCCAGAACATCAGTCCAAGGGGCCGGGGCGTCTGCCAGATGGTTACCAGCTGTCATCAGTCACTTCTTCTAAACCTATTGTTAACGAGTTTTTCTCAGTCCTTCCTGAACCTGTTTAAGGATTCAGCTCTTCAAACTTGTGGGTTATTTCTTGAGAGCAAAAAGATACTGTGGATGTCGCAGGTCTTACATGTTACAGGAATTAAGTTACGTTTTTTTTAAGGGGGAGGGCCTATTGTTCAATCACACTTTGATAGCGTCCCTCTCCTTTTGTGAACATAAATTCTATTTTTTAATTGAAATATAGTCAGTTCCAGTGTGTCCATTTCTGAAGTGCAGCATCATGTCCCAGTTACACACATACACACATGTATTCGATGAACGTTAAGTCTTGCGTTCTGTCTGCACATAGAAAATCAGTTCCTCTTCAGTTTTGGTTACTTCTCGCCCCGTGTTCTCAACTTGGGAGTTCAGT